ATGTACCTGCGCTTTCTTCGGGTCAAATCTTCACCTGGAGAGTGATGTTAGTTTAAACCAATTCGTTTCCCTGTTTCCTAATCTTCCGACAAGAATGATGCGTTCGTCTTCTTATATTTTCAAAATTTTGAAGGGCCGGAATCCGTCCCTTCCCCCCCACCACTCTTAAAAACCCGGCCACGCTCGTAGTTGTGAATTAACCCCAATCAAAACTTCCTTTCTTCTCATAAGCCTTTACGTCTGTTCTTTTGACGTTTCCATCGTCGACCCGTCCAAAGACCGGCTGGGCCAGCAAGATTGATTGTGAGTGGCGGTTTTCCAAAGGTCACTATTATTCCTGTGTCTTACCTGCGATGCTAAGAGCCGGTGTGGGGTCTTTCTTACATAACTGTCACAAAAGAACAAAAGGTGGTTTGCTGGTAGTCGATTTATTGCAAACACTATAATATTGAACGTTTCAGCGAAAGGAAAATTTAAAAGAATAGATTTTAAGAGCTAATGTCAGCATGCATCAGAGTAACAGCGTTACCCGAGTTGCGTGACCTCATGTAACGAATATACCAGACCTATGGTATTTCTGTCAACATAATACTTTGTTTTATCATCTAAACTTAATCCCCTGTCATTATTGAAGCTGGCGAAGAAATTTTTTTGGTGAATATTTTTGTCCGACATACTTTTCCTGTGTCGAAAAGTAGCATCAAACAAAGACAGTTTTAACAATAACCGATATGACAGAATCTCTGAACTTCAAACTTTTAAAAGACAAAAGGATGGTTATAAAATTACTGTGTATTTGTGTTGTTCTATCTTGAGACGAACTCAAGGTCCGGCAAAGTTTACTTGATAGCGACTATGAAACATACATGGTGTGCCTTCCTGTCGCCGCCGTTAACTGGCATAAATCATTACAATTTCCAAAAAAATCTAACATAGCACTCTTACCTTGTTTATTTATGATTTTATTAGCTGTCTCGATGATCACGTTAATTATGCTCTACCACATTCTAGCCAAATTGGGGTTCCAGTTTATATATCTTCTCTATCTTATTATATCAGTTGCATGACAAGCGTGACACAGAAATTCAAAGATGAATCAACCTCCAAAATATCAAGAGATGGTTTTATTTTTCCCTCTTTGCACGACATCTAGCAAAACCTTTCAGGAATTACTGCATTCAGAAAACTAGAATGTCCAGATCTATTAATGATTCCTTTGCTGGCTGAAATCAAAGAATGGCTACAATAGTCAATTTGACAAGCTACATACTGATTTAGCTAAGATGTTTAGCATAAGATGTTTTCATCTGTTCAGTTAAATCGTTCGCTGGTGGAACTTGTGGGTTTAGTTATCGAGAAGACCGAAGTTGTATATCTCACGTCGTTCCCTTACGTGGTTGTTAAAAAGACATTTCAAGTCACATGCGGAGTTACAAGTTTTCAGACCCAGAAAATAAAGTTGATCTAATTTTGTCGCGTGCCGATATCTTCGAGACGCCAAAAGATATCGATGATTTTACAAATTGCCCCACTCATAGATCAAATCTCGGTGTTGGGTGGAGTCGTGGTTCCAGTAGCAGATGTAGGGTGCCAAAAGAAGTGTCCGGCCATGGTAAAAGTAGGGTTAAGTCGATTCCAAAAGCCGATAGGGGAATTGGCAAACTTGTATCACAGACAGAACTTATGAGGTTCTTTTACGGACAAAATATCGAACATGGATACGTTAATGTTTTGTTCAATTACGTTATTGTTATGCGTTATAATACAAGTCTTTAAATAAAATAAATCAATTTCATCCGGAATACATCGACTTTGGATGTCATAAATCGATGTTGTGCAGCATACATCGCTTTCCTCACTCATTCACACGTGACCTTATATAACTAAAAGATGTTCAACTAGTCCCTGTGAGCAGGGTAACTGGGATACCTGGATGGTACTGGATCCTTGGAATCAAGTGCAGTGATACTACGGGTGTCGGACTGGTATACTGAAATAGTGCGCTCAAGTCTAGCCAAGGGCATACACCTATTTCAAAACATAGGCATGCTATGCATGCAAGAGTTACTTTTTTTGTAGGGCGGGTGGATTACTTGAAACATTGTGAGTGATGTCTACATTCTTACAAAAGGAGAGAAGAATATTAATGTGGGAAAGAACGAAAATGTCGAATTACCTCACACACAGGTATTTTGTGGTAGATTATGTGTGTTTTGCGAATAAATGCAACCAAAAATAAACTGTATTGGTGCCACGGATACCTGTTAGTACAAAATGCAGACAGCAGACTGCAGACTGGAGAGTGGGTACAAAATGCAGACTAAGAATCTGAAGAGTTTTTGCGTCTGGTATATAATAACATGTCATCTTACAGCTTACCGAGCGTCACGCAATCGCTTTTCCGCGATCAGCCTTCACGATTATTTGCACTATTGTGGAAAATTCCTGGCCCATTTCTTGATGAAAATCGATCGTAATATAATTTCAAGCCTTCAATATAGTCTTCTTACTTTGCGCGCGAGTTGGTTGGTGTGATGTCTGTACAGATTTTACCAACGTAATAAAAGTAGATGACGTGAATAACAGTGATGGTAAAGCAAGCTTAAAACGACAGAAATCGCCAGGAACTACAACGGATACACAGGGTATGAATAAGTTTTATTGATTTTATGAGAAAAATGTTCATATTTCGAAATATTTATCGTTGTAAATCGGCCATATTTCGTTCCCTATACTATTCCTCACAACGTGTTCAAATTTTCAACGGTTCCTCTCGTAACTTAACACCGAGTCACACAACGCGTGACGCATTCATGCATTAATCGTTGGCTTTTTCTCGAGGCGCGAGCTTGGGCCTCCTGTGACAAGACAATTGCGTAAACAATACTCGGCATAATAACATTATACACAAAAAACACAGGATTTTGGATCATGTATTTGTTAAAAAAGAATATCCATACAACTACAGTAAAAACAAACATATGATTCACCTTTCTGAACGTGAAATTAATACCATTCGCACTGTTATCGTTGCTACGTTCCCTAGCATCAAGTGAATCCAACATGGCGTCTTTCTTCGCAAGCAGTTTGCATCCATTAGAGTTTTGTTCTTCAGTCTCACGTTAGTAGTGTTGTTCAATATATTGCATAGAGTATATGCAGTTTGGTTTCAGATTTTAGATTTTGCTTTTTACAACAAGTGTTCGTTTTTCAACTAAGATATTGGCATACTTAGCATACAAAGCATACAAGGCATTCAAGGCTTTCATGGCTTTCAAGCGTTCGCGACTCAATCCGTTCCAAAATTCCGCTCAATAACATCTTTTAGCGTGGATTGGCCGCGAACAATACGACTTGTATGCGTCTGTAAGTATTTTGAGCGTTTAGCGTTTGCGCCATAATGCTCCAGGTGATCGTAATCCGAACACGTTGAAGTACAAAACGACTGACAAAAGAGTTTTATATGCAAGAATCTCGTGGTTCGTCATGTGACCCGGCCCTGTCCGTGCATGACAACGTCCATCATCATCAAGATAACACGCGTGATCAGCATGTGAACACCTCATTGGATCACAGTTAGTTGTCATGGTGTTGAGGGGGTTTCTTGGAACAAGCCGTTCAAGGCCACTTGCACTAAAAAAGGAATGATTGGCTGGGTACCGTGGGAATTCACGAAGAAACAGCTGCTGAAATTTGAAATTATCCCCGAAAAGTACCATTTTGGAGTGAATTCTTGATTCTTGAGCAGAGCTACCCACAGAGGTAATAAAAAAACTCTCTCGAGCTGCATGTTGAACCTTCCCGTGGACGACATGATTCACTGCCCCAAGGAACGACAGCCTTGTGGCACGATTATTGCTTCTATCTCAGTTGCAAGTTCTGAGTGAGCAAGGCACAAATCCCCTTGAATACCGGTTCTGATTTTGAGAGAGCACATCCGTCATTATATCTTTTGGATTCGGATCATGAAGAGGACAGAGACATTGAAATCGGGTGAACTATGTTCACTTTATTTCACATTAAGTATTGCAGTAGTATTAACACGCAGATTGTGAAATTGAGGACAAGCACTAGAACGTGTTTTTGTTTTTTACAATTAAAATGGTCAGTTACCATACTATTGTTTGCAAAAAGTAAATTGAATTTTAAATAAACGCCGCCCTCGAATAAACATCGCACTTGAATCACGAAAATTTTAATAAACGCCGCGGCGTTTAATCGAATAAACATGATAAGTGAAAACACTTTATTAGCTCTATATTTAAGAGAGCTCCTTTGTAAGAAATTTTTATAAGAGTTGTTTACAGTCTGTTGGACCAAGTTCTATCCAGCAATCTTTCGATGAAAGAATTTATAATTGGTGCCAATCCTGATCTTCCTGCAGCCAGCTAATTTCCCCAAGGTCTTGAAACAGGTAGGAAATCGACAATCATCCCTTTATATCTGGGGCTCTTCTGACTCGTCATTAAGTACTAGGCCTTTGCGGAAGTAGGCATCCGCCGGCACACATTACCATTTTAGAGTTATCCACAACAACTTTGTTTACCTCGCCCCTATTGTGTCTCCACCTCCCCCCTATTGTCAATCCCCCCCCCCACCCCACAAACCTCCCGTTCAGGAAGCTTTCAGTGATCAAATTTCATTGAATGGCTCTGCAGCTCGCAACAGAAATAAAAAAACCAATGCCTATGAATGTTTTTTGTCTTGGTTTTTAATGAAAGAGAGACGCTCGAAACTTTGAAGTAATGAAAATCAAAGGGCTCTTGGAGCCAGCTCATTCATGTTATGGCTTAGGTTTGCATTGATTTCTTGGACTTGTTGAATAAAGGTGCAGTTGAATCCAGTTTATGTGAATTTTCAAGACTTTTGGAATAAATTTTCTTTTATTTTTGGGCAGTTGTGTGATAAGAAAACTTGTGCATTCGTAGTGATGGGGATCGGAAAAAAAATTGTGCGGGCTGGAGGTGGGATGGGCAGAAGTCATTAGGCAGACGACGCCCTCAGTTGGCTGCAATATATCTCATAACGCTGACTGCCGCAATAATTATCTATTAAATATTCCTTGCCCGTTTCTTGATATATTTTGTTTTAAACAAAGCGGCCATTGCATTTGATTTTTAACAAAGCGGCCACAATCGTTCCTAATAGAATTTCAAGTCTTCATATAATCTGATTTTCACATATTAATATTTGCGTAGTCACCAAACCAACGACCCCTAGAGGTTCGGGCCTTCGGCCCTCAATTTTCAAGGGTACCTGCCTACTTTAAAGGCAGTGCCCTTTTACTTCAAAGTTGTTTAAGTTGTTAAAACCAATAAAAAACGGTTAGCGTCTCGTTCACATTGAGTGCCTCAGCAATACATGTAACACCCGAATCACTAATACGATTACCTGACAAATCCAAATCGGTTAGCGTCTTGTTCACTTTGATTGCCTCAGCAATACATGTAGCACCCGCATCACTAATACGATTACATGACAAATCCAAATCGGTTAGCGTCTTGTTCACTTTGATTGCCTCAGCAATACATGTAGCACCCGCATCACTAATACGATTACCTGACAAATCCAAATCGGTTAGCGTCTTGTTCACTTTGATTGCCTCAGCAATACATGTAGCACCCGCATCACTAATACCATTGTTTGGCAAATCCAAATTGGTCAGGTTCAAACCAGTTCCAAATGACTTCGATAAATACGAGTGAAAATCACTTTTTTCTCTTTTGCATTCGTTGATGGCCTCCAATACAATTTTTACACCACGGCCTTCATTTTTGTTGACTTCATTTGTTAAACTCTTTACAAGAACCACAACTTGTTCATCGCATTTCATGGCCAAAATTCCACACGAAAACAAAAGTATTTGTTTAAGTTTAACGAAATACTTTGGATCGGAAACTAGTTCTTCTTCAGAAGGCATAATGCAGTGTTTGTCTCAGTTTGCTGCCACCAGGCTGCACTGACAGAAATCCAAATTCAGTCAGGTCTTTTGCATGGTTTCTCAATTCACTTTCATTAAAATCCAACTTATCGTCAAGTAAACCATTCAACGCTACCTTTCCAAGGTGATTCAATTGCGGTTTGTAATGGTTTGTCAGGTCTTCGATCTTTTCTAATAGTCCCTTCTTTTTTCTATATCTTCTCAAAACACATTCAACCATATCCAAGTACAGTTGAGCTCTGCTTTCGGGGAGTGTGCCCTCAAACTCTTCGCATAAAAGGCAAAGAAGTGCTGTGTTTAGAGGATTGGCCGCTATTTCTCTCAGGTTTTTATCTCGAGACATCCGTTGCAAGAGCTTGGTGGCTAAATCCGTCCTTTCTTTAAAGTACTTGGTGACAAATCCTTTCGCATGCTTTTCAGTGAATCCTTCGATCTGAAGCAGCGCATCACAACATTTTCTCACCTCCTTTCCAGCTTCGTGTCTTGCTGTTGCAACTATGTGGCATCTGGGGAGTACTCTTCCTTCAATTAATTCGGAAAACATCGACAATTTACTGGACGGTAACTCATCCAATCCATCCAATATCAATAAAATGCTGGACTGATTTTCACGAATAAACTGAAAGAATTGTTGTTTGACTTCTTCATCAATGTCTCGGGGCAGAAGCTGATCATTAATGGCTTCCCAGACGTCGGAATGGATGTCTCGACATTTCAACAACAATACCACTTTAAATGCTGTTGAGCCGCAGCCCTGAGGTTCTTGCTGTTTTGTTGCCCAATCGTAGGCGTACTTTTTACAATAGGTGGTTTTTCCCATACCAGGTTCTCCTACAATCAACACTGTTCTCGGCGCTGAACACTCTTCATACGGTTCTAGTATTGACGACATGTCAACAAATACGTCAGTGATTTCTCCTCTCGTTTTCTTTCTTCTGACCACTTTGAGCCTTGCCAAGAAAAAACTGAAACTCTCCACACCATGGAAATGGTGAGAGCCATCCCTCGCGAGTCTTGTACAGCTGGCGAATTCCATTGATAAGCTCAGTTAGATCAAAAATACCTAGCAGTAGCAAAATAAGTAAGAAATCTGATGAATGCAGCATTCAAAATTGTGGTGCCTCTCTGGTATTCGGCACTGGATTTAAATAAGTGAATGAGTACGATACCGTTGCCAAAGAAATTACTTGGACGATGCAAAAAGGTTTTAGTGTATGATTCATGCTTGCTGATTAAAAGCCATTTAGATTATGAATTCAGGTAAACCTACTCTTTTTGTTCGGCTTCAAGGGTGTCTGACGGTGAAACTCTGTCGTAAAATAAATTACTCGGGAGAGCCGTAGTCTGAGAAAGGCTTTTTCGGGATATACCGAGACTACGAACAAATAAATGGAAACCAGACAACGCCTTTGTGCCTTCTTTGTCACGCGGTTTCATCAAAAGTGCTGCAGAAAACCGGGGGCTCGCCTGCGATGAAGTGGGAGGTTTTTCCTACAGTCTTTTCCTTAGGAACCTATTTTAATCAAGACGATCGTCATTCAACTAATTTCCAATGTAAAATTGAATACTCCACAATATGAGCGCAGGAAGGGTTTAGTTATTTTATTCAGAAATATGCGGATTACATCTTATGCTTCTAGGTATTCGGCATTGAATTTAAATTAGTGAACGAGTACGACACCACTGCCAAAGAAATTACTTGGACGATGAAAAAGGTATCAATGTATGATTCATGTCAATTTACTGACCAAAAGCTATTTGGCTTGTAAATGCAGTGGAACCTGCTCTGTTAATTTCTAACATCGAGCCGAACTTAATGCCAATGTTTTCGTTAAAACTGTACTTCGTTTTATTTCGTTCTCCACTCTAATCAAAATATAAAGTTTTCCAGGCTAATTACGGGTGAAAGTTTGAACAATTGTAGGGAATTAAAGTACACCGCAGAGATTATTCCAGAGATCGTCTAACTTGAAAAACTGAATCTCTTTAACATAGGATGATCTCTCCCTCTCTCACATACAGGCCATGTTGACTACGGCGAAATTTGCGGTTAAGCAGGATAACTTTTATTGTATAATTCAACTTACCTTCATCCTTGCTTTCTCCCACTGAGGCTGTCAAAGTACACAGCTTTTCCTTCACTTCTTTCAGTTCGCTGTCCATCTTTACCATTTCGCCTATCATTTTCTCAAGAGACCCTTTTGTGGAATAACATTGAAACTTTTAGTCCGAGTGAGAGTCGCTATAATCATTAAAAGTTAACTAAATAGATCCTTTCCCTTCCTCTGTTGTTGTTGTTGTTTTTTTAAATTTTATACAACATTCTAAAAAAAACTTATGGCTCGGCTTCAGCGGTTTCTGATAGTGAAACTCGGGAGATAAATATTGATATCATTGGAGCCGATAGTCTGAGTAAGATTTTTGTCGGTAAAAAGGGACATTGTAAGAACTGGTTTAAAAAAACAAAAGAACGCTTTTCCGCCCTCGTTTTCACGTCGTTTAATCATAGAAAAAGAAAAAACGCTAGAACAAACCAGAGGTCCGCCTGCAATGCATTGCGAAGTTTCGTTCACAGGTTTTCGCTTGGGAAAATTAAAATAACCACATACGCCTTCTCCTGCCCCTTTTTACTAACACAGCCCTCATTCAGAAATTTTTTCCATGTAAAATGGAATACTCTACAAAAAATTTGAGTGGAGGAAGGATTGCATTAGTCTGTTCAAGAATATGCAGGTAAAATCTAACGAATTAGGAAGTTAGATTCATTAAGTCCTTAACAAAAGTAAAACTAAAATAAGGCAATAACCCTTCTCGGCCAAATGTGTATGGGTGCTGTCAGAAAGCTATCCAATCTGAGAGGTAGCCTGAGATTCCGTGCCATACCATTCATCCCACACATTACCTAGTATCTTCATTTGTAGCCAGAGTAGGTTTATCTTAGTAGCCAAGGTGTGCTCTTACAACAATACATTACCTGAAAAGTGTTACATTAGCCGACATCCAGCGAATAATGTGGTCATGCTCAAAAGATGTGTTATGTACTCAAGTTAACGAATCCCTTTTGATCGTTCAGTTTAACACATAACGCTAGATTAACGTTCCAAATATGTGACTAGTTCCAACCAAAATGAAAACATTATGAGTTATACTACACTGCTTTGTTTCATTAGGCAAAAAAAAAAAGGCAAAGCAAACCTAGAGACCCGTCTGAAATGGAGTGGGAGGTTCTGCCTGCACTCTTTTCCTCAGGAAATGTAAAATAACCACATGCATCTTATTCTGGCCCATTTTACTTAAGACGACTCTAATTCAACTATTTTACCATGTAGAATTGAATACTACACAACATGACCGGAGGAGGGATTTGGTTATTTTATTCAGAAGTATGTGGGTCACATCTAACGCTACTAGGAAGTTAGATTCATTATGAGAAAGATAATACGAAAAAAAAGAACGATAACCTATCTCGCCTAAGATCATACATATGTGTGAGTGCTGTCAAAACACCATCAAATCCGAGAGGTAGCCAAGGCAGAATATCTCACATTCCGTGGCATCCCACACATTATAGAGTATCTTCATTTGTTTTTTCTCAGTTCGTGAGCGGGCGGTATTCTACAAATCCTGCAATCTGATTGGTTCCGAGAGCGGGCAGTATTCTCCCCATCCGGCCCGCTCACAGCGGGCGGTATCCGATCCTTTGTTTCGAAGTTTTCTGGGAAGCCTTTTAAATCACCTTTTAATATCATTACGCAAATAAATATGTTTTGATGAAACCTCTCTCTTTCATTTGCATTGCCCTTGTTTTCTCTACCATCTACTCGCTCATAAATTGTTCCGTTTATGGAGAATCTTGCCGTAATTACAGCCCTTTATCATTCAGGTTCTTTACGCAACCATTTGTTAAGTTTTGGGAAAAAAAAATGTTATTCACCAGCCAAGGTCGGTCCGTATCGGGAAAAACTGTGCCCTTTGTCTTGTGTATCGCCCTCGGCCCACGACCTCAGGCCTCAAACTCAATAGGACGCTTAGAAATCACAAAAATGTAGTCCAGCAATTGTACACGAGTACCCCGAACAGACCAAAATATTACAAATGAACACACAGTTTCAACATTGGGGCTAATTCTTCATTTTTCACATATGACGCAAAAATACCTTCTAAATATAAGACTAGTTCCGACCAAAATGAAAACTTCATGAGCTCGCCTGCAATGCTGTGTTAACTGAAAATATATATATTTGTAGCCTTCTGATTCATCCACATTGGCAGTGGACAATGCTTTTCTTACCTTCAATTTCTTCAAGCTTGTCTTTGATGCTGTCGTCGTCTTTCTTCCATTGTTTCATCAGTTCACGATAATGCTCCTCGCTATCTGGATCCATGCAGTCGTGCTCAAGATTGTCGATATCAGCTCTAAAATGAGCTCCTCCCAGTCTCACCAAAGGTTCTCGTATTTTGTGCCAGTAAGCACTGAAACTGCTGTCATCCACAGAGGCTTGAGAAGCATGGCCGTATACAGTGTTCCTGTAATACTTGACTCTGGCGATGTCATCTGCGATGCTTATGTTTGTAGCTAGGGGAAGACGATCCCATCCATTGGCAGGAGGGCCCAAACCACAGATATTTCTAAGAAGCACCGTCAGAAGTGTGATATCGAAGGCTGCAGAAGACACAGGTGCGTGAGTAGGGTACAACTTTCCCCATTGCGTGGGATTCAGCACTTTCCTCCTTCCTCTGTACAGTGATTGCAATGTAGCGTAATGCACTGAGGTACTTCCCAAAACTGTATGTAGAGTCGCTGGTGGATGTATTGTGTCAAAAGTGGACCGAAGCACCTGAGATCCAACATCCACCAGGAGGCGGCATAACCTTGCATAGTTAGTAGTCTCTTTCGTAGACGCAAATGGTGAAATAGCCATAGCCATAATACTAACTTTTCCAGGATGATCTGTCAAACAGAGAATTGACATTAAGTGATGCTAATCAAACCCATTCGAAAAAAAGAAAACTCCCGATAGCCAATTGAGACCGAGAATAGTTTCAAATCGTGATATCATTTTCTAAATCCTTTGGAGCAAGGAACACCAACGAAAGAACCTAACAAAAGATTTAATCTAAGATTTCAACCCAGTGTTTAGATTAAGAAAGAGTTTTGTTTTTTAGTTAACAAAGTAACAACCAGAGACATAAACAGCAAAAATGAAACGCGATTTGAAAGTTTGAGGGAAAGGAATCACCGAAAAGAATTTATATTTCCTCTCGGGGGCCGTAAACTTAGTCAGTTCTGGTGGCTCGTTGACGTTTGATTCTTAATGAAATGGAATCTGCCCTCTAAGTACCAAGGTCGACATAAGGTGTAATTATACTCTTGAATATTTTAAGTCAAGCATCTCCTTGGGATCTACCGATCCAAGACCTCTCCCTCACTAATAATAAAAGCATCTGTTGAACTCTTTCATAACCCAGCACGTAACCTTACCTTGAGTGTCGTATTGCAAACCAACTGACCTTAAATACGTCTGAATTGTTTATCGATGCTAAAAAAGAAGATAAAACTGAACATTAGCGTCTGCTATAAGATTTCAATGTGGAACAGCTGCCAAAGTACACAAATAAGCTAGCTATGCTACTACAACAAAAATCCCGAAACACATATTTCCCAATAATCACCGCCACTGTTACGCATTAAATTCAAGCCACTCGCGTGCAGATCATCACGTTCTGGCACATTACCACCTTTAACGCTGCCAATTAACCACTGCATAGGAAAGTTTTAAAATTGATATAGGATTAGTAACTGCGACAACATCACCAACCATAATTTATTAGCGAAGAGATGAAAAAAACCAAAACCGTTAACCCCTACATCAGCCAGCTATCAGTGCTTCCGAAACTGCTACCACACGAGAACTAAAATCATCACTAACAATCAAGTAACACACAAAATCAAGACATGCTCAACGCATTAAAAGGCAAAGCCATAGGTATTAAGCCAATACCTCTACCACTCAAACCAGAGTCACCTCAACTGGCAAATAATGACTCTTTCTGATAAAACAATCGCCAGTGATTTAAGAGCAGCTTCAGTCTCCTGAGCAAGGACAAGTCCAACAACAATTCCACCAGCCTTAATACAAAAGCCACACCCGTTTTTACTACTTCATGCAGCGTCACAAAGATCTGAGCATTGCCAGCGCGATCATTATACATAAACTGAAAACCTCTATAACTTCAATGTGATCCACAAGCTGACAAAAATATATAAACCACAATGCAACTTCAAAGCAAGACAACACAACCTCCATGTACCACCCTGCAAAGATCACTGCACCAACTTGGTCATTTGAAGCATAATTGCAGAAGCATCATCCATCACCATCCCTTCAAGAACAAGAAGTACATAACCACAAGCAAACTACACTATGTTAGGAAAATTGTCATCAATATAGGAATCAGTGTGTTACCAGGTCAGCCGATGGAACCAACTCCATGACTAGACCAGGAAATACCAGCACAACAAATAAAGGAATGATACTACCTCAGGTCACTGAGTTTACAACAATCAATAAATGGCACCCTACAGCTAGAAAGCAAAACCCATGTTACACACCTTACCTATCCCAATTTCTATGGAATTAGGCAATATGGGGTATTAATCATCCCTCTAAGTGGATAACTAAATGCAATTTCTAACAGGTGTATTACCCAACATGACACTAGGTCTCCCTCCCAGCAAAAAAATTCCTGGAGCAACTCAGAAGGAATTTGTAGATTTCCTCACCAACTGTTACTTCACTATCACACCTGGGAACATTAAAAGCCTTTTTAAAACTCAGGCAATTCATGGTTTCTCTGCTTATTGATGATTAGACCAGTACAACCCGGCCTTGCAAACAGATTGCACAGTCACTGTTATTAAATGCACCTTTTTAAGCTATATACTAATTCTGCCACATGAAGGTAACTCTAATTGTCACTAAAATACAAGGTCATTGAAGCTCATGCACCAGTACAAAACATGGTGTCCCGGTTCATAGGACAATAAAGTCTGAGTCACAGATTTAAAAGTCTCTGTAATATTACCACCTCCACTAGCAAAATGTGCCTAACAGCAAAACCTACCACTAGTAGTTACCACTACAGTTCGGACAAAGAAAACCAACAAACAACTTTGTTCCACATCCCAAACATTTAGGGGATGCAACCTCCATTTCCAACTGAACCTGCAATGACAAAGGAACTAAATGGGGTCACAGCATGCAACAGAGCTGCACAAGCATAATCCATCACCATGCACTATCATGAGGCCAGCAGAAACATAACTTCTAGAACTGGAGCTAAATTCTAGTTAGAGGTTTCCCACCAACTTGGTAAACATTACTTTACTAGAAGAAAGATATATTTATGCCCTGTCACGTGCATGGGATAAAGACAGAAATCCCAATCACCACAAGAAGTTGAATTATAGAACTTCAGCTGATTCCACCCACCACTAAGCCAGTAACAACAACTATAGGCAAGGCAAGGCCATTAATTACTAGGTTAATCTGGCACCCCCGTCACAAACTGCTAGTAGGTCATCAACCACTGGCATTAATTATTCAGTCAACCAAAGTAAGCAACTCTTAAAGACTAGACCTTTTCCATATTCCAGGGTAAGAGGGGGAACTCAGTCTGAATTAGTGCATTTTCTCACCAACAACCTAGTGAATTATCTACCCAAGGGATTAACTCTGCATAACTGACACTTTTTACCTCTCAAATTGGTGTCCCAGTGCATTGATCCTTACACAAACAAAGCCCCACACATCAGAATAAGCCAGTCAGTCTCAGTATACACCACCACTTTAAAACATTTACAATGTTTGCCAGTAAAAAGAAGCTCTGGCCACCATTATAAGGATAATGCAAGCAATCCCAGCCTTTTGTTACTAGTGCCAAAGCCATATTTTCTAGGTGCCTCTAACCAATATATACTGAATAACAAACATCTTAACACAGCCAGCAGGGGTTGCTGTGCTCGGAAATTAAAATCTCTCATTGCCCACCTCCTTAAAGAAATGAACCAGACAATCTCTGCCATAACATTATGAAGATCCTTTTACAAAGAAAGATATACATCTATACAATTGCATGATCAGACTGAGCAAATGCATCCTTCATGGCCACTCTTAGAATAACCACAGAAAATAAAAGCTACAGAATAATAATTATTAGCAACATTGCTGAGGCATGCCCATCACCACTCAAAGAAGGACAAACCATTGATATTAATGTTAAAACAACATTGTGGTGGGAATAAACTAGTTTGATGGTCATCACAAGCACCATGCAACACCACTAATTGGGGATTATACACAGGTACTGCTCCATAAGCAGGTGACCAACAATTGCATAATAAATCAAAACCAGTCAGAAATCTCCTTTATGATAATGCATGCAAGCATTGTCTGATTAACCATGTACAAGCAACAAATCTCTAAACATGACATCAGGTTTCCCTAACACTTCACCAAAATACTAAACCCATACAAATCTGCAGAACACAACCCACAAGTCAGTTATACCTGAGAGAACAAAAATCTCTTCTAGCTGCCCTGAGGCAACTGCTTCAATTAATAAAACTAAAAAGCTCCATATACACTCATATGAAACTTCTATTGACCACTGCAGCCCTACAATGATGACAGAAACCAGACAAACACCTACTGTATATAACTGCAGAGCTTCCAAAGGATATCATACACCACCACTTTCAAAAGTAGATCAACTATATAAGGAGCATCACAGTACTTCATTTTGGTAGGAGATTGATCATTAGCAGAAAAAATCAGTGCACATTTTACAGGTTGATTACCAAGCAAAACAGACAGCTCCATGACCAGACCCAAAACTGTACCATTACCACTATCATAATTATATTATAACTACTTCTAGTTACCAATATTTGCACATTTTAGGTAAATAATATAATGCATAGGTCTTGACATAACATTACCAGGCAAAATAATTAATACTCACATGGATATGAGTACAATGAGGGCATGCAGAATTTTAACATATGGAAACAGGACACAATTATTCCCAGCAAATAAATTATTAAATAAATACAGATTGACAAAATGAAGGCAAATTTTAAAAAGCGAGAAAAAAAAGAAACAGCAAGCCCTTCTACCTTGTATAGAGTTTCCTGGGTTCAAGAAAATAACCCTTGAATCAGGGATAAAGTCAGAAAGTCTGAAAAGGGAAGCAGCAGAACAACAGTTACTATATATCAGTTATGAAAGACAATGACAGTCACAAAGAAGGGCACTAATAGGTGCCCCAAGGTTATAAGTAGTATTAATGGCAACATTTTATAATTATATCAAAATAATTTCAAATTATCAGCTGAGTTAATTGATAATGTGAATTTGCTATCGTGATGAGTTGAGAAGCTGACAATTTGTTTGTCAGCCCAATTGCTCTGATGAAGGGCTAACACTAAAAATGTCATCTTTTTAAACCTTATCAGCTCAATTGATAATACTAAATTATCCAGGTATGCTCTCCTGCCAAGGCAGCACCACAGTTTTTTTAGAAACTTACCCCCTCTATTTACAATTATCAAACGTCAACTAGAATTAAAAAAAAAAAACAACAACAAAAACCACCATGATTCACAAAGGCTGACCAAATGTGACCCTACGAATGATTTCAGGGACAAAGGTAATAACACACAAACAACACACCAACACATCCTGCAGAATGCCCAATTTGTTCTTCCAACATTTACTAACAGTAGCAAAAAATGTATAGATCTGTAATATTAGCAGTGAACTGTACTCTGGAGAGCTTTGGTTAGTTATAAATTACAATGGCTTTCCTCACTGAACCTCATTCGCCATTTCCTTTCCATCCCACCCTCCTCAATGATTATTTGTTATGGAAATCTTCCCTATCTTTTGGATTTTCTGTATAAGAAAGCCTC